GCCTCCATCATGTCGACTGGTGTCATCTACAAGTTATTGCTACCCTGGCTGTATTTTCTTTTTGGATTGTATGTATCACTGGAAAGGTATTTATATAACTTGCACGACTTGTTTGCCTAATCCAGTCTGTGTATAACTTATGGAAATAAAATTTGTTTAAACCAAGATCATTCTCCAGAGCATGTCCGATGGCATTGATCTTAGCTCATGCTATCAACAAATGGTTTGTCTGTTTAAACCAAAACAGTAGACTGCTGAAATGTGTCTGTAATATTGTAAAACTGTAAGAAGGTAAAGTGAAAAACAGTAGGTATTTTTGAAGAAGTGAAAGCGTGGGTGTAGGCAGTTGATGCTCAACAGATATGAGCTGTAGGCAGCTATGTGTCATGCCTTACTTCAGCGCAACGCTGAACTGCACAGCAAGGAATTCAGCCAGACATGCACATTGTATTATCTCAATGCCAATACAGACAGCACCAAAACAACCACGAATGTGCCAAGATAAAACCGACCACTTGTGAATACTTCCAGTCCTTGTTAACTGGTGCAAAATAAAGGTCAAGGACATTCCTCAAGGTTATTTGATTTTTTCAAAACACTGGCAGCCATACATTGAAGTGAGACTGTTGTTGTTCATGGTGAGCGGATGCTGATGAATTAGAGTGGGCTTCAATACTGAATAGCATTCCATCATGTCGAATTATCTGCCTTGAACATAAGCTCGTGGTTCCTCAACTTTTATGAGAAAATAACGCAAATGTCAGTGTTTGTGTGTGAGCTGTTCTTGCCAATTGAAATGCGTGTTGCACTTTCTTCTGGCATGTTGGGTCTGTTTGCCCTGTGGTTTAACTGGGGTGTTGCTAGGTTCTCATTCTCTCCATGGAGCCCATTCTGGTATCTGTTGGCATTGGAGTCACTGAGACTACATGTACTAAAACCGGTGACCCTGTTGGCATTCTAGATCATTACCTCATGCTTGTTGACTGAAAAGGGGATTGGGTGGCCAGGCTTTGTAACTACAGATCGCGTGTCATCATGCCCTATGATGAGGGTGTGTGCCCATGCTTTCTGTCACTGGATATGTCATCGTATCCCAATTGCGTGGATCAATGCTCATGTTTTTAATCACCGGATCCCAACCAAATTTCCCACTGGGATCCCAACCAAATTTCCCATTGGGATTCCACAGAAATTTCCTCTAGGGATTGCTTGACCAGATTCGAATATATGCTGGCAACTGTGATATTTAATGTAAAGCTGGAGAGATTTTGTGTGATGAAATTATTGCAAGTGGCTTACAATAGCCTTAACTGTGTGCTGCCTGTGAAGATCAGGGTTAAAATAGGTCTTCAGCAACCTATGCTTGCCGTAAAAGGCCAATAACAGGATCAGGTGGTCAGGCTTGGTGAATGCATGCCATCATATCCCAATTGCTTGTTTCTATGCTCATGATGTCAATCACTGGATTGTCTACAGACCACTGTCACATGGATGAAATAGCAGAGATTAAAAAAAATAGAAAAATAAACTTTGTGGAAAGTTTTGTGACACCTTGTTGATGAGATCAAAGCTACTTTTGCATGTGTTATTTTCATAAGTAGGAAGTGGCATGATGAAATGGTAACTCAGTGATTTTTAAGCAATAGATGCATGTGTTGTTGACAAGGAAGTTTGTTTGTCTGACAATACAGGCAGGCTGGCATATGTGTGGACTACTCCTGTTATGTAAGAAACTTGACAAGCTGTGGCAGGTTTGTGAACTTTCCCGATCAGACTGTTGACAATGGGTGACAATGTGTAATGAAAGAAACAAGAGGGGAGGAATTATTTGTTTGATTATGCACTGGCTAGTTGACAATGTTTGGAAGTGAATAAAAGAAATTTTTGTTTGTTGTTGGTCTGCAAAACCAACTGTGTCATGAAACTATTGCGAATGTGTGTCACAAACATTTTTCACAGTACTTTCCTGCTCGCAAACTTTCCAGATTTACAGTATTTACTCACTCCATAAAACCAGCGTCAATCTTGCTCACTATAGCTGAATGGGTTCCTGTGACCTGATATTTAGTTTTCCCTGGCATACTGCATATATGTTGAGCATCTTTTGGGATTCAGGTGCCACTGTAGAGCCTCACTCTCTATGTAAGGGTCGACTAATGTTAGTTTTGAATGGTTACAGTGTGTGACCTGGCTGATCATGTGTCATCATATCCTGTTAAGATGGATTGTTGCTCATGACATCAACCTCTGGTTTTCTGTTCCAGACTTTGTTATTTACAGTACACCATGGCCACATTTATAAAACACAACAACTCAAGCATGTATGCTTTTAGTGAATTAACCAGTGAATGTTGATTTGTAATGCAGTCAGCAATATTATGTAATGGAGAAATCACAGAAATCTCTTGCTCCCGGGAGTAGAATCAACTCACCCCGAATTAGCGAGTGAATGTTGATTTGTAATACAGTCAGCAATGTTATGTGATGGAGCTATGTAACATGTCAAGAACCAAGGAAAGCATTAGGAGTCAGGGGTCCAAGATGTTTCTGTGTGGCAGGTGCAGCAGCCATGTAATAAATGTTCCCCTCCGTCATTTGAACAGAGATCTGTTTCATTGCTGCCGGACCTGTGCAAGATGAGCTGTGCTGTGAATGTTCTGATGCTTGTTTCGTAATAGTATGGCTTGAAGACTGTGACAGCGTCCCTTCCTGGCCCTCTTGTTGCCTCATGTTGTAGTGTCAGTATTCAGATTGCCTGCCTCCATCTGTCTTTCCAGATTCATAGTCGGGCAGAATAGGTCCCCAGTACCTGATGCATGTCATGAGAGTGTGAACAATGTCTGACAGGGCTGATGGTGTGTCATCGTACCACAATGAGATGGAGCATTCTCATGTGTAGTCTGGAAGTTAATTTAAGATACCGACGTTTACTACAATATCTGAAAAACTATTGGACCTACTCCAGTCAAAGTTGGTATGAGATTATTAATCAGTCATACATAACTGGATATTACATTTAAAGACAATCGGTGCATGAATATAAAATCTGTGTATTTAGCTATCACTATATTTCATCAACAACCAGACCTGTTCGTCACGGGTGGAACGAGCATTCATTGTAACAGCCATCTGCATAATGCTACCCCTGCGTCACAGAGCCATATGACACAGTTGAACCAATCAACTCAACTCGAAAGGTTGTGCGGGAATCACGCACGGTTGTTGATGAAATATAGTGATAGCTAAATAGAATTTTTTTTATCCATGCACCGATTGTCTATAAATGTAATATCCAGTTATGTATGACTGTTTAATAATCTCATACCAACTTTGCCTGGAGTAGGTCCAATAGTTTTTCAGATATTGTAGTAAACGTCGGTACCTTAAATTACCTTCCAGACTATAATCAAACACTGGATGGATTCACCCAGACTCCAATGTGTACAAGGCACAGTCATATACCATAGGGTAGACTAGCTCTCGCCAGCGCATGCACCACCCACCCACCCACCCACCGAGTTTCTTTTCTGTTGGTCGTTGCCTAAGGTGGAAAGTTTTCATGCCTTCATGTCGAAACTTGTTTAATTGCTCCGACTGCAGTGTGATTCTAACTTCTATCCCCCATCTTTGTTTCCATGAGTATCTGTCAGTGAGTTTGGTTTACCACTGCTGCCCAGTCTGGAAGCCTCATGAAGTGGCATTAAACAACCAACTGGGTAATGAAATAAAGTGCTTGTATGAATGTGGGGTAATGAACATCAACGGCAAACTTGATGCATGTGGTCTTTGAAGATGACTCGTGTTACGTTATGCTTAACACAGTTGAGATGCTAACTCAAAACACATTCTCAGACTCTAATGTAGGTTTAATCTAGAGTCAAGGGACATTATGTTTCAGCTTTTGTACACACCCAGTCTTGAATTGTGCAATTGTTGCACTCTGTAATTCAATACGTACAGCGTTATTTTTTTCTTTAATGCATTAAATAAACATACAGATAATGCTAATATTAACGAAATAAATAGCTCTGCTCTCAGACAGCGCCTGCATTAGTGAGACACTGAGGAAGTGTCATTTTTCTGCTTGGAGACAAAATAAGAATTCAGACTCCCAGGAATTTCAATATCTAAACACAATTGTTATTTGTTTTACAGTTTTATTAATTCTTGAGCTCACCTGGCCTGTAAACATTTGGAAAAAATGTAAGGCAATAGAAAAATTATTCTCCTTGGAGTTTTTCATTTAAAGTTAATTTTACACATGTGTAATGCAACAATGTTCTACAAGAGTAGATTCATTTTTTGCAGATTTAGAAACACTAGAAATTTAGTTTCTTGTTTCCTATCTGTTAATACATTTGCATTCAGTATTTTATGTAGAAAATATTTGAATAGCAATGCTGACAGCAATTTGTTAAGTGGCGGTCTTGTTGACATATTAAACTGATGACTACTTATCTAGGTGAGCTACAATGCATGGGATTTCTCAAGAGGTATTTTTTATTTTGGAATAGTAGTAAGGCCTTTGATCTTTCTTGTAATATACTGCTCAGTATTACTGTAGTTGAACGTCATGCCATGACAGATTAACTACAGTAAAATACGTTTATAACGAACACGCTTAAAACGAACTGACGGATATTACAAACCTTATTTTTGGTCCCAGCCATTTGCTGTATAGATGTTGTATATATGCTTATAACGAACAACGGTTATAACGAACTAAAATAAGTGGTCCATTTGAGTTTGTTATAACCATAGTTTACTGTATAGTAATATGAAAGAATTGGGAGATCCTTAACTTCTTTTAAGAAGTATATTTGAATCAAGGGATCTCCAAATTGATAACTATTAGCATAGGGTTATGTCAAGAACACCTTAACATTAATTCTTAATTTCTTCGAACACTATCTTGACCAACTATTCTATTAATTATATCAATAAAGATATTGATATAAAATTGTCATGTTATTGCAAATCCCTGTTTTTTTCCCTGACAGAGAGAAGAGGCTCTTGCAGCAAGGAAGAAGTTCATCTCCAGTGAAGGAGACAGCATCACGTTGCTCAACATCTACAAGGCATACAAGGGGGTCGGGGGAAACAAGGTACTAGAATATTTTGTTGTTGCAAATGTAGCTTTATGAAATCCTGTATGGTGAGCTAAGAGACAAACTGATGTCAAAATTTGAGATGTTCGCTGGTTGTGACAGACTTGAGAATCAAGCGTGGTATTCATGGCAAGTGCTGCATGTCTTTGTCCAACTCATTTTGCTGAGATTGGCCTGCTGGCTTTACCAGACATTATGTGTTGCTTCCTGTGCAGTTGACAACCAAGATTACTATACTCTGCCAGTCTACTTGGATGCCACAAAGAATGGTTACCGTATTCGACGTAATAAGCGCCCCACTCTAATAAGCGCCCACTGCGATATTTGCTAATATATTGGCTAGTGAACAATCCCAATTAGCACCCCGTCCGATGGATCAATGTACACAAGACTTATTAATTCACATATAGTACTCACTCGTGTGTTATATGCACCCTTAATTATGGGCAATTACATTCTGGAAAAATATACTTGTTGTACATAAACACTTCAGGCTGTCAGCATAAACCACGAAATTCATCTTTCAACTCTGTTTTTTCCACCAAAATAATTTTTTAATAAGAGCCCCCTATTTCTAATTTTGACAGCGCCCTGGGCGCTTACTACATTGAATATGGTATTTGACTCATTAAGACTAGTCAGTTGTTTTATGCAAGTTGAACTGTAACTAACATTATGCTGATATTCTGATAAGAAATACAATCAAACTTACGACTGTTCATTTTCCTATTTTCTTCTCTCGATCCTCTGGTATTGTTTCATACTTGGAAATTACCTCTATAAATAGTCAGCAAGTACAGTCACTATTGTTATGACATCTCTGATATTCATGGTAGTCCTATACATGTCAGATGTAGACTTGAACTGTGTCAACTTGGGACTCCCATGTTCATGTCTGGGATTGCTGCTGAGAGTCCCTACAGCCTGCCCTTGTTGAACGTAAACGTTGGCTGGGAATGACCACTGGGATCGCTGCTGAGAGTCTCTACACTCTGCCCTCGTTGAACGTAAACGTTACATGGCTGGGAATGACCACTGGGTTCAATGAGAGAGCAGCTCCAATGGGGAAGCGAGACTTGACTTGATGATGAAGCTGAAATTTCATTACTCACTCACTGATTCCATATGAGAGGTTGCTGTAATTGATTTAGCTCTTGTTTCAGTACTCACTCATTCATTCCATATGATTGGCCAGCTTATGTGATGAAACTGATGTTTCAATGTTAATTTGCTGATAACATATAATATTTGAGAGACAAGGGTAGCTGAAAAGCGGGAGAGCTGATATTTCAATACTTCCTCACTTCAAATGAGAGGCTATATTGCTCAAAAGAAAAACAAGGTTTGACCTGGATTTACAGAATACTGACAGTATCTATTACAGAATACTGACAGTATCTTTTAATACAAATAGCCGTTCCTTACTTATGATAAGTCCTGACTGATAAATATCATGGCCTAGAAATTCAGTTTAGTTTCATTGGCTTCACACAGAGAAACAAGATGGCCACCATATGTATATTACCTGAGGTGCATTAATTACTGCCAGGTAACAGCTGCCACTGTAGCCATGGCTAGTGTTGTCCCTGACGCTGTACCCAGTGTTTAGTGGTGGATGTATGTGATGCAGATAAGTTCCTGGGAAAGTAATTGCTTTCAGACAGTAGGAGGTGTTTGGCTTGGCTTGCTACCAACAGGTCAGGTTTGAATCCCAGCAGATGCTGAGTCGTGGGGATCTCTGACAACATGGTTGAGTCAGCAGTAATAGGTTAAATGTGCTGAAGCCCCTGCAGACATGGGGAGGCTTTGGTCTGTCAGTAAGACAATAGTCTAACAGCTGCTGGCTCATGTACGACTTGCAGGTAAAGGGGTTCATTTGGAGAAAGATCAGTTGCTGTTTGATGAATTATACTTTGCTGAAGTCATGTATTAAAGACCAAACATGAGTAGGTCTATTACCAGACGTCTATCCGCCAAGTTTGTTTGATGCTGCTAATATAGCCGCACACAACAGTGTAGACCACTATTTGAAAAATAGGGCAATAAAGCTCTAAATATACAGAAAATTTTACATCGCTTACATAGGTGTCGTTTAATATGATTAAACATCAACATTGAATATCAGAGCAGTCCATATCCTCCAAAAATTGGACATAAACATCGGAAAAGTATTTGAAAAGATTTTTGTTTGTTTGTTTGTTGTTTAACGCCGCACTCAGCAATATTCCAGCTATATGTTGGCGGTGTGTAAAATAATCGAGTCTGGACCAGACAGTCCAGTGATTGACATCATGAGCATCGATCCACGCAATTGGGATCGATGACATGTATCAACCAAGTCAGCGAGCCTGACCACCCGATCCCATTAGTCGTCTTTTACGACAAGCATAGTCGCCTTTTACGACAAGTATGGGTTGTTGAAGACCTATTCTACCCCGGAATCTAGAGAAGTTCCCTAATGGCTTGTGACAAGCTCATCAGTGACATCTTTTGATTACACTTTTAAAAAAACAGGTACTATTTAGGAGATGAACCTACTGTGTTTTGTAATCTGAAGTAGTTCCACTGTAGAGTGAATGTCTACTCTACAGTGGGACTACATCAAATTTCAAAACACAGTAGGTTTATAGATCTTCATTCTACCATGACGGCAAGAGCAGTTTGAACACTGTGCTAGATGGGTACAAAGATTCACTATCTTGGAACATTCCGAAAAGGGGACATGGGTAGTTATTAATGAAACAAATATTACAATGAGTAATAATAAATAAGTTCAACATTAAAATACCTATTGTCTTGACTAGTTCAGAAAATAAAGGTTTGAAAGACATAGTTTTTCAAAAAGAAGTTGTCCAAAGGTATATGTTTTAATTTTGTCGCAACCTGTTGTGCACTGTTTGGACTCACAAAATAATTTCTTGGTGTTTAAGGGCTTAATATATTTATAGAGGGTTCTGTAGCAAAAATGTCATGGTAGAATTTGTATTGACTTTAGTAATTAAACTTTACATTAACTGATGTAATTCAAGCTGTTGTGTAGGGCCAAGCCCTCCACCCAAACTGTTATTTAAGAGAGGCAACAAGAAATGGTATCTGAAAAACATAAAACATTACTAAGAAAGGAGCTTGTGCATATCCCTTTCTAAACTGGCAGGTGTCGAGTACACTTCATTCTTGCCTGGAAGATCAATCAAATCATGCACTGTTGATAGAATAAATACAACCAATAGTTTATTTCACAGACCAAGTTCAGCTGGTGTATGTTATTTGCCATTGCATCACCTCAATACCATTCTCACTTGCACCACCACAATACCATTCTCACTTGCACTACCACAATACCATTCTCACTTGCACCACCACAATACCATTCTCACTTGCACTACCACAATACCATTCTCACTTGCACTACCACAATACCATTCTCACTTGCACTACCACAATACCATTCTCACTTGCACCACCACAATACCATTCTCACTTGCACTACCACAATACCATTCTCACTTGCACTACCACAATACCATTCTCACTTGCACCACCACAATACCATTCTCACTTGCACCACCACAATACCATTCTCACTTGCACTACCACAATACCATTCTCACTTGCACCACCACAATACCATTCTCACTTGCACCACCACAATACCATTCTCACTTGCACTACCACAATACCATTCTCACTTGCACTACCACAATACCATTCTCACTTGCACCACCACAATACCATTCTCACTCTCACCACCACAATACCATTCTCACGTTCACCACCTCAATACCATTCTCACTTGCACCACCACAATACCATTCTCACTTGCACCACCACAATACCATTCTCACTTGCACTACCACAATACCATTCTCACTTGCACTACCACAATACCATTCTCACTTGCACCACCACAATACCATTCTCACTTGCACCACCACAATACCATTCTCACTTGCACCACCACAATACCATTCTCACTTGCACCACCACAATACCATTCTCACTTGCACTACCACAATACCATTCTCACTTGCACCACCACAATACCATTCTCACTTTCACCACCACAATACCATTCTCACTTGCACCACCACAATACCATTCTCACTTGCACCACCACAATACCATTCTCACTTGCACTACCACAATACCATTCTCACTTGCACCACCACAATACCATTCTCACTTTCATCACCTCAATACCATTCTCACTTGCACCACCACAATACCATTCTCACTTGCACTACCACAATACCATTCTCACTTGCACTACCACAATACCATTCTCACTTGCACTACCACAATACCATTCTCACTTGCACCACCACAATACCATTCTCACTTGCACTACCACAATACCATTCTCACTTGCACTACCACAATACCATTCTCACTTGCACCACCACAATACCATTCTCACTTTCACCACCACAATACCATTCTCACTTGCACTACCACAATACCATTCTCACTTGCACCACCACAATACCATTCTCACTTGCACTACCACAATACCATTCTCACTTGCACTACCACAATACCATTCTCACTTGCACCACCACAATACCATTCTCACTCTCACCACCACAATACCATTCTCACGTTCACCACCTCAATACCATTCTCACTTGCACCACCACAATACCATTCTCACTTGCACCACCACAATACCATTCTCACTTGCACTACCACAATACCATTCTCACTTGCACCACCACAATACCATTCTCACTTGCACCACCACAATACCATTCTCACTTTAACCACCACAATACCATTCTCACTTGCACCACCACAATACCATTCTCACTTTCACCACCACAATACCATTCTCACTTGCACCACCACAATACCATTCTCACTTGCACTACCACAATACCATTCTCACTTGCACTACCACAATACCATTCTCACTTGCACCACCACAATACCATTCTCACTCTCACCACCACAATACCATTCTCACGTTCACCACCTCAATACCATTCTCACTTGCACCACCACAATACCATTCTCACTTGCACCACCACAATACCATTCTCACTTGCACTACCACAATACCATTCTCACTTGCACCACCACAATACCATTCTCACTTGCACCACCACAATACCATTCTCACTTTCACCACCACAATACCATTCTCACTTGCACCACCACAATACTATTCTCACTTGCATCACCTCAATACCATTCTCACTTGCACCACCACAATACCATTCTCACTTGCACTACCACAATACCATTCTCACTTTCACCACCACAATACCATTCTCACTTTAACCACCACAATACCATTTTCACTTTCACCACCACAATACCATTCTCACTTGCACCACCACAATACCATTCTCACTTGCACCACCACAATGCCATTATTCTGTCACCTCTTAAAAGAACCTTGTGATAGATTAACTGCACTGCATTGACTATGTGCCTTGGTTGTAGTGGACTCTCCTGCAGATGTAATTACACCCACACATGGCTCCATCACTGCACTGTGATGACCATGTGCTTGGTTATAATGGACTCTCCCGCACATGTAGTTACACCCACAGAGTGGGATCTTGTATAGCACCTTGAAGACCCTGGTTGTAGTGGACTCTCCCACACATGTAGTTACACCCACAGAGTGGGATCTTATATGGCACCTTGATGACCCTGGTTGTAGTGGACTCTCCCGCACATGTAGTTACACCCACAGCGTGGGATCTTGTATGGCACCTTGATGACCCTGGTTGTAGTGGACTCTCCCGCACATGTAGTGACACCCACAGAGTGGGATCTTGTATGGCACCCTGATGACCCTGGTTGTAGTGGACTCTCCCGCACATGTAGTTACACCCACAGAGTCGTATCTTGTATAGCACCTTGATGACCCTGGTTGTAGTGGACTCTCCCACACAAGGAATTTTTTAGTGGCTGCGATGATATAGCTGGAATATTGCACTAAACAAAACATAAACAAACTGTGATGCCATCAATGGTACCTTAGATGACTCAGAAGCATGGCAAGCCAAGTCTTATCTGTGGAAGATGCATGTCTACAGCATACAGGACTGTATTGTCCTAACTGTTACCATCTCCAGGTTGACGTCATGTAAAAATGTGATCATTTCTTCAAGGGATGTCTCAAATATGGACTTGTTCTTCAAGCCTTCATGCTTCCCCCTTCACTTCCTGCACCTGTTTACAATCCCGTGCAGGTTTAATTGTAGTGTTAGGATGGTGTTAAAGAAAAACATGCCTCTACATCCTTCATTGCATCATAGCAGGTTTAATTACATATTGCACAAACATAAAGACATTTCATGGTTTCAGGGCTCGAAATTAGAAAAACTAATTCAGTTTACGTGTGCCTTGTATTTATTACCGAATAATTATAACAAATAGCGATCGTCTGCTAGGTTTTTAACAACAATTAACATGATTAACCACTTCCGTTTGAAACTAAAGACCTACATGATATTTGTGATACTCCGTCAAAATATGGAAAGGTGCGATTACATTCAAATGTATTGCGTGCAATCTAGAACATCTCGTCAAACATCTGTAAGATACAGTCAACGAAAATCACTGAATACTGCCAATTGATTTTGCTACAGGAAGTTGTTTAGTCAAACATCCAACTATTGGGGAAAACTCTTTCATTTCACAGTTTAATTTTGTCAAGATGTATTTGATTAACGTAAGTACTTTTGTTGAAAATGACCATGCCCACGAGTCACTGTACATAAAATTCAAATGTGCCATTTCCTATTTCATGTCTGCCATTGGCTCGGCGGCACTAGTAATTTCAAGCCTGCATGGTGGATTCATCTTTTTCATGGAATTTTGTTTGTATACATACCAGTTCTGTATTTTATATGATCTATTACAAAATGAACTGCTAAAGTTGAGTATTGTAAGATCTAGCAATATGCAATATATGCCCAAGAATCTGCATGAGTTCTACCATGGATGTGTGTCGCTTGTTGAACTATGAAACATCTTTTTGACAGGTCGTCTGTGTGCCTTGCTTTGTAACTGGCAGATATGCTTGTGTGTAGACGACCTACTGCACTAACATTGTGTGTGATCCATCAACAGACATCACTTCTTCCACTCTTCGGCATAAGAACACATACTATGTGGCGTCAGAGACCATATAATAGATCTATTATATGGTCTCTGGTGGCGTAGAAGACACAGAATATGTCACAGGCATTTAGTAATCTTGACTTTTTGTTGCACTGTTGTCTACATTGATAGATTTCTTATTTTTTTGTCATAAGTCTCATTACTGGGCTCGGTACATGCTGATAGTTTAGCAGATAGTGTTTTCCTGACACCTTATATCTATTGATGTGCCAGGTGGTCGTGATTAGGGCCTGTTTCCTTCCTGCTATCTGTGAAGGACTTTGATTTCTGCAAGAGTTGTAGAAACAGAGCCTGTACATGGGATTTTCTGCCCATAAAACCAGGACTGTTAACATTTTTTAATACATGAGCAGTTGTCAACTATTAGCAGAGTAGCATCTGTTTTAGATCAGAACACACAAGATAGTGTTTGAGTCAGTCTCTGTGTTTCTTCAGCCCACACGTTCATTATAGATCCTACCTGTTGTTGCCTCTTAATGTTGCTATCCTCCACGCTGTGGAGGTTAAAGTGTAATTAAGTGCCCCAAGCATCAGTTAACCCAGTCCATATGCTGTCCATCTACATGATGAGGGCTGACATGCATGGTCTTGTTAGGGTGAAGTCTTCATGAAGCTTGTTACATGCTGGGGAAAGTCTGGTGAAGGCTTCATCACCATCCAGTAGTTAGTTTGGGGGCACAACTGAAATGTCAAATGTACTGGAAACATAGCTGTACATTGTAAACAGTATGGTTACTCCATTTTACCATTACAGAATTAATGGTGAACAATTTGGTGTCAGCAAATACAAAGATCTTGAGTGAACAGGAAGCAAAGTGGACATAATATTCGTACGTCATACTTTTTCAACCAAAGCCGAAGAGTGTTATAAATAACTTATGATCCATCTAAATGCAAGAAATACCGGAAAGAATAAGAAACACCAGGATACCTTTTAGTGAAACAATACAGTAGTCACGGTATATAACAAATTTGATGACAGCGAGAGAAAGACCACATGAAGCATGCAGACAACTGAAGTCATGACATTTTTGATTGAACACCCAGGGCTTATTTGGAAAACAGTGGGTAACAATACTGATCATGATATGTGAGATTGTGGGTTCGATTCATGGAATTTTCATGTGAAAAAAATGTGACATTTTAGCCAGTTACAAAATCAACGTACGATGCATATTTTATATCGGTATTTACAATTCAACTGTAAAACCTCCAAGCAGGTCTTACATTTCAAATGTAAAACCATTCAGCAGGTCTTACTTAAAAGTAGTTCCTCTCACAAGGTTACTATGAGATAGCAAAATACCTATAATACTACAGGCAGAAGTGGTAGTAGGTTTATTAAGGTTTTCATTTGTCTTGTATGGAGTTTTGCAAAATGGTGCCAGCAAGTCAAGATAGTTAGATGTTTTGACAGGTAATGATAAGAGTTAACCATTCATGTGTATATCAGTCTCCCTGTTCAATTCCAGGAAAACTTTGTTCTCCCTCCAGATTTGAGGAATAAATACAAAGGTGACTTTCAGCAAATAAAAAGAGCAAGGGATGACAAGACTGATGCTTATAGACCTTGGAGAGCATGTGAACTTATTGTGCGGGTTTGAACTGTTTGTTGTGAATCATTGCAAGATCAGCTGCCACATTCTCTCTGGGCCCGGGGTGCATGTTGAAGAGAGTTTGAAGAATTTGGATATCTGCTTTGAACAAACATTAAAAAGATGTAGCTACGCATGACGCTTGAATCTGCGGGCTATTTAGGCAACAGATGGGGACTCAGTGTTTTCATTCTCCTACTGTCTTCTGCTACAGGATTGGTGTCGGGAGAACTTCATCAACATGCGCAACATGAAGACGGCGCTGGAGGTGCGGCGGCAGCTGCGTGACATCGTGCAGCGTCAACAACTACCGATACAGTCATGTGGACAGGACACCACCGCCATTAGGTGAGGGGGTTTAATTCGTTCATAATGATGGTGTATTTCCTGTGTATGATATGCTTATTATTGCTGGACTCTTCAACTGGCTAATGAACAGGGAGCACTGCACCTGTATCACAGATGGGGGCATGTCACCATGACATAGCGGAACAATTGTCCAGACAGACTCAGTGTGACTTGTAAATGTCTAGTGCTTTTATTCATAGAATTGATAGGGTATGTTCTAGGGCTGGGATGGGTAACTCGGGTAGTCAGGTTAGGTGGGTCCTGAGTAGGAACCGGGTACCCACAGGACTACCTGGACCCGTGGTTATCACGTGATTTACTGTTTAATGACAATAACAATAAAACTCCATGGTCACACAACTAGTTGCTAATGTTCACATTTCTTTCTGACTATGCAGCATTCATTCTGACTATCATATCTTTGAGTAAAGATAAAGCTTTAGTCAACATCAGTGTAGGCATGATCAGATCGTTATATACATATATCTTAATAGTTTTTACCAGAGCTCCGGTGAAACAATTCTCAATTGGTCATTTTGTAGCCAGGGGCGGTCGGGTAGCCTAGTGGTTTAAGCGTTTGCTCGTTACGCCGAAGACCCGGGTTCAATTCCCGACATGGGTACAATGAGTGAAGCTCATTTCTGGTGATATTGCTGGAATATTGCTAAAAGCGGCGTAAAACCGTACTCACTCACTCACTCATTTTGTAGCCATCTCTAGAGACCTACAGTGAGTACCCACTGGTGGAGGAATAGGGGGTCGGGTGACCTGGTAGTAAACTAGGACTCGTCCCAGCCCTAATTTGTTCATTATATATCGTGACCCTGGAGAACTGACTGAACACAAGAGTATCATTGAGTGGATTAGATGAGACTGAATCTTCAAGAGGATGTCTGTCATCATAATAGGACTGAGATTTGTTCATGGCTTTAAGGGAAAACCCTTTCCTCTTTAAATGAAAAAATATGACCAGTGAAAAAAATGTATGCATCTTCAATGAAATCACAAGGTTTATGAATCTGAAATATTGTAATCCTGTGAAGTAACACAGTGGAATTCAGATTTGTTCAGGCCAGGAATGATACATCTCAGAAACTGCTGTACCAAATGCTTTAGACAATTAATTTGCTAAAAGTAGCAAAATGTAAATAGAATTAAGATGACTTTTCTGATATTCTTTTTACACCATCAACTCTTAATGGTATAAAAAATAGTTAACATGATATATCACTCAGGTTAGTTTGTGTTTGTGAGAGGATTCATTGTGAAATACGAAATACATTTTTGAAGTGTTTATTGCAAAGTTTGAAGTGATATAGACTGATAGGAGTTGTAGCCCTTCAGTATGACAGATCATTGTGCAGACATTCAGGAGGGAAAATGGCAACATACATGTGCCTCATGAGAGCAGTCGAGGTGTGTAAATTCAGGACATTCAGAAAGTTAATTGAGATTTTTGTTAAACTTACATTTTGACCATAGACATGTCCATTTTATGACATAAATAAGTTCCTACCACCAATATTGTATAAACAAGACAGAATTCTCTTAACCAGCAAAATAAATTATTTGCTCACCGTGGTTATAAAAATGTTATGTCATAACAATAAGAATATTATAAGATGATCGCTCTTCCCTGAAAGACTGGCTTGAAAAACAAAGCAAAAGAATCTGATCAATTTTATGAGAACAGGAAAGAGGTCTTTCTTCATCTATTTTTTCCCCAGCCTATAAACCAATAAAACATCTGTCTCAGTGACAACTGACTTTAGCACGGGAGACATATCCTTGGTGGGTGTCTGGAGATTCCCCCCTAACTAACAGTATCAGTGCCACCAACTGTCTGCACCGACAAGGCAGGTGATGGTACAGAACCCTCGGTAGGACATCAACATGGCGGGTCGAGTCAGGAGGATCTATTTTGTACATTTTGATTTTCCAGCAAATTGATCTGTTTTTCTAACCTACTCTGTAACAGATTTGATCTGTCTGGATTGTAAGAGTAATAAATCATTGATAATAAGAATAATATATCTTTGTACAATAAGAATAATATATCTTTGTACAATAAGAATGATATATCTTTGTACAATAAGAATGATATATCTTTGTACAATAAGAATAATAAATCTTTGTACCATAAGAATAATATATCTTTGTACCATAAGAATAATATATCTTTGTACAATAAGAATAATGTATCTTTGTACAATAAGGATAATATATCTTTGTACAATAAGGATAATATATCTTTGTACCATAAGAATAATATATCTTTGTACCATAAGAATAATATATCTTTGTACAATAAGAATAATATATCTTTGTACATTAAGGATAATATATGTTTGTACAATAAGAATAATATATCTTTGTACAATAAGAATAATATATCTTTGTACAATAAGAATAATATATCTTTGTACAATAAGAATAATATATCTTTGTACAATAAGAATAATATATCTTTGTACCATAAGAATAATATATATTTGTACAATAAGAATAATATATCTTTGTATATTAAGGATAATATATGTTTGTACAATAAGAATAATATATCTTTGTACCATAAGAATAATATATCTTTGTACAATAAGAATAATATATCTTTGTACAATAAGAATAATATATCTTTGTACCATAAGAATAATATATCTTTGTACAATAAGAATAATATATCTTTGTACATTAAGGATAATATATCTTTGTACAATAAGAATAATATATCTTTGTACAATAAGAATAATATATCTTTGTACAATAAGGATAATATATCTTTGTACAATAAGAATAATATATCTTTGTACAATAAGAATAATAAATCATTGTATAATAAGAATAATAAATCATTGTATAATAAGAATGATAAGTCATTGTACAATAAGAATGATAAATCATTGTATAATAAGAATGATAAATCATTGTATAATAAGAATAATAAATCATTGTATAATAAGAATGATAAATCATTGTATAATAAGCCTTCTCCTTGGGTTTCCCCCAGCGGACAACTCGAACGTCCCCGAGTAGTGTTATCATACACGTAGATGTAATGTATTGTTGGTATATCATCACCCTGGTAATGTTGCCGCTCTCTATGTGATATATATACATTTATCTTATCAAGCATGTATTACCACCACCTTGTTAGTATCTGTGACTGCAGTAAGCTCCCTTTAACTCTGTAACCTATTCCTGGTAATGCAGTGATTACCGTAGATATTCTAAAATGTAACACCACTGAACATACAAGCACTGAAGGTATTTATTTCTTCATTAAGATATAAAAGAAAACTTTTTTATGGAAATATCTTTTACAATATATGACATGACTGAAGTGAATTAATAGGAAGAGGATATTATTTTAGTCACATTTAATTATTAGTGTTTGAGGGGCCCTAGTGTTTATGATGATTCCTTTGATTGTATTTGAATTCAGAGACCTAGCCTTGCTCCAAGGCTGTACTGAAAGATAAGTTCATGTATGTCTAGTAAGTCTATCCTTATTATAGGCAAGACTAGATAAGCATATAGAACTACTATCATTGATGGGGACAACTTGCTCTTATTATTCATATAATCTAGAAATTAGGACTTGAACTAATAATTATTGCCTTAGAGACTTTTGCAAGTCAAATGGAGACCCCTGAACACTTAATCTTAATTTTAGGGTTCTGATATGAACCCTATGACTTTCATACTTAATTTACATATGGTTATTCTATGGATGTGATGGGTATTTTCTGTTCTGTAGTAGAATTATGGTAGTGGAATCAGCATTCTCGAATGGATGCCAGGCTGTTGGGCAAGTGGTGCTCAGCTGACGGCATTCACATTGCTCCTGTTCTACCCTTGTTGCCACTGGGGAAAACAAACGAGGACCTTCTGATAGAGAAATGTGCAACTTGTACAGTAAAGCACGAAAACCCATTCTCTCACCTGACTTCTGCTCACAATCGTGAGTGTGTGACGTAAGACCCAACCTTTCTCTCTTTATTTTGAGCATGTTATTTTGGCGGGCGTTGTTGTGAGGGACGGCAAACTGCCAATTCGACCAACTGTTGGTTGTCCTAAAGGTCAGAGTTGATGAGCATGCTCATTACAATGGTATCAAGTTCGGTGCGTGTTTGGGAAGGTGTGAGCTGTGTTTGAAGCATTTGAAAACACACGTCACAGCAAGGGGTTCTGTTGACCAGAATCAGAAAAAGTTAGGATCTTTGAGGCACATGAAAAAATACTTGTACAGGTTTAAGAGTTAACAGCCTTTCCACTTATGTCTTGCTGTAGGTTTTTGGTGTCATTAAGATGCTTGATATTCAGTTATTATTTATGAAAAGGTTAAGAAAAATGTCTTTTAAGATCATCATTTGTAATCTTCAAGATGAGTTGTGTACTTCTGAGGGAGCTGAGAATACGTATTGCTTGCACTGTGTTCCCTTGACGGGTGTTTTAATGTTTTGTATGCTTTGAGATGAGGCGAGGTGAAATGGGGTTTAATGTCACGTTCAAGTTTATTGCAGTTTTATAGCGACATGCATGTGTCTGTGTGTGTGGCTGCTTGTACTATTCCAGGGCCACTGAGATACCATGCCACAGTTTAACATGGATAGCCCACTCACACACAGTATACTGACTACAAGCTGACCAGTCCCTGTTTAATCCCATCGATGCCGATTGCCAGTCAGGGAAACAACAAGTACCATCTTTTGCTGTCTGTTGGTATGACACCCCCAGGCATTGAACCACTGATCTCCCAGTCTTAGTATGCTGACAACTTTCCCCTTAGGTAATATAACATGTTTGATACAAGATGTAACATTCATGAAATTTATGAGGTAGTCTAGTGGTTAGGCCATTGCCTCGTCACAGAAAGACCCAGGTTTGATTCCTTACATGGGTAAACTGTGTGAAGTTCATTCGGATGTTCTGCCATGTTGTTGCTAGAAGTCTAAAAGGGGCATTAAACAGTCTGACTCACTTGCTTACTCTTATCCCATATACGTAATGGCTCAGTATTGTCAAGGTCACTTTCATGAATTCAACAAATGTCCATTGTCTGTGCAGGAGTCACCTAAAGAATATGACATGTGAAATCTTTAACATGTGTAACAGTTGTTAATTTAACTCATTTTCAAATTGAGTCAATACAAGTGTGCATGAAGAGCTGCCATGCTAAACTAGCACCTTCCTTACGTAAATACACCTTACAAGTTCCTCCTCACACGTACACCCACACACCAGCACAGACAAATGTCACCAATATGCTGGGCTTCCATGGTTCAGACTCTTGTACAAAGTGTGCAGTGCTTGAAATGCTAGACACATTCCAGTCCCTGTAGCCTTGTGATGGATATTAGGAAGACCTTCCCAAACCAAGTCACTTCTACAGGTTCTGTGACTACTTTCAACATTGAGCATTTTGGCACCACAACTCACTATGCAGAGTTGCTTCCCTTAGTCAGGATCCTATGATCATGGGTTTGAATCCCAGACTTGCCCTGACTCTACTCATGGTTGGTCAGCACCATACCCACTCATCAGTTTCCCCAAAGCTACCCGAAGCACTTCAGGCTTTTCTCTCACTTTATTTTGATGGCCTTACGTAACTTAAGTACCATTTATAGGCACTTTTAACCACCTATGTAATGAATGTAATGTATTTTCCTACTTAAAGAAGTTGAGGGGGTAAGTTGGAGTGACGCAGGTCTCCTGTCTTTCGAGCACCTATGTAAATATGAAGTAGCCAGTACAGCCATGTTGTTGTTGTGTTGGGGTCAAGTGCAACTCCCTGACAGCCAGCAGTGATGGCAAGGTAAAACGTGGGGTCTGCATATCGTGCTGTCTGTCTGTATGTCAGCCTGCTGGAAATAGACCCCAGCAAAGGCAACATGGAAGATGATCAGGTGCCAGGTGTTGCTGAAGAGGCAGACGTGTGAAAACAGTCGCGACTGATTCTTTGATTTCATTGTGGTTTTGCCTTGTAGCATTTGAAAGAATTCTTGAGACTTTGTGAAGTCAATGATGCTGGCTTTCACTGGCATTTGGAATGAAAGTTTGTTGCTATTTTTCCAGAGGTTTTGCTGATGATAGAATTGTTTTTCCACCAAATGTTTTCCCTGACCATGTTAAAAGAATTGTAATTTTAACTGATTGCTATCTTATTTAATGCAATTTTTTTTATGGAACAATGCTAAGAGTTGTGATTATTTACAAAACATTAGCTAGGATTGTGAAAACATTACGTTTATTTTCGTGCGTAACAATAAACAATGTCTGTCATTGTTCATGGTATTGTTCATGACCATGTGCTGTGTTTATTGAGTGATGTCTTGTTTTGTATGTGTTCACGTTCAGCTTTCTTGACTGACTTAACCTGTGGAAATTCCAGGGGAGAATAGGTTACCATTAATCCATGCATTTCATCAGAGTTGACTTACATTGAGGATTGGATGGTTACAAAGTGTGACCTGCCTGATGCTGTGTTGTAATTGTTACCAGATGACGTCGATTGTTGTTTATGCTAAAAATGATATGTCTGACCATCTGATACAGCTTGTATCATAAAACAACATTCATTCACACTCCATTGACTACCCACCAAGTTGAATCAGGTCCAGTTAATGACCATGTCGGAGGAGTACTGTTTGGGTGAAATGTTGCATGTGAGTATATGTTACTGCTGTACTCCACAGACGGTGCCTGTCCACGGGTTTCTTCATGAACGCTGCTGAGCTGCAGAGGACTGGCGACTACATCACTGTAAGTGACTGAAGGCATTGTCCACAATATAGAGCCCCAACCCTGCAGTGTCCCCTATATAGAGCCCCAACCCTGCAGTGTCCACAATATAGAGCCCCAACCCTGCAGTCCCCTATATAGAGCCCCAACCCTGCAGTGTCCCCTATATAGAGCCCCAACCCTGCAGTGTCCCCTATATAGAGCCCCAACCCTGCAGTGTCCCCTATATAGAGCCCCAACCCTGCAGTGTCCACTATATAGAGCCCCAACCCTGCAGTGTCCACTATATAGAGCCCCAACCCTGCAGTGTCCACTATATAGAGCCCCAACCCTGCAGTCCCTATATAGAGCCCCAACCCTGCAGTGTCCCCTATATAGAGCCCCAACCCTGCAGTGTCCACTATATAGAGCCCCAACCCTGCAGTCCCCTATATAGAGCCCCAACCCTGCAGTGTCCACTATATAGAGCCTCACAGTGTCCACTCTATAGAGCCTCACAGTGTCCATTATATAGAGCCTCACAGTGTCCACTATATAGGGCCTCACAGTTTCCACTCTATAGAGCCTCACAGTGTCCATTATATAGAGCCTCACAGTGTCCACTATATAGAGCCTCACAGTGTCCACTATATAGAGCCTCACTGTGTCCATTATATAGAGCCACAATGTCCACTATATAGAGCCTCACAGTGTCAATTATATAGAGCCAGAGTATCCACTATATAGAGCCTCACAGTGTCCATTATATAGAGCTGCAGTGTCCACTATATAGAGCCTCACAGTGTCCCCTATATAGAGCCTCACAATGTCCATTATATAGGGCCACAGTGTCCATTATATAGAGCCTCACAATGTCCACTAAATAGAGCCTCACAGTGTCCACTATATAGAGCCTCACTGTGTCCATTAAATAGAGCCACAGTGTCCACTATATAGAGCATCACAGTGTCCATTATATAGAGCCACAGTGTCCATTATATATAGCCTCACAGTGTCTATTAAATAGAGCCTCACAGTGTCCACTATATAGAGCCACAGTGTCCACTATATAGAGCCTCACAGTGTCCATTATATAGAGCCTCACAGTGTCCATTATATAGAGCCACAGTGTCCATTATATAGAGCCACAGTGTCCACTATATAGAGCCTCACAGTGTCCACTCTATAGAGCCTCACAATGTCCATTATATAGAGCCACAGTGTCCACTATATAGAGCCTCACAATGTCCACTAAATAGAGCCTCACAGTGTCCACTATATAGAGCCTCACTGTGTCCATTAAATAGAGCCACTGTGTCCACTATATAGAGCATCACAGTGTCCATTATATAGAGCCACAGTGTCCATTATATATAGCCTCACAGTATCTATTAAATAGAGCCTCACAGTGTCCACTATATAGAGCCACAGTGTCCACTATATAGAGCCTCACAGTGTCCATTATATAGAGCCTCACAGTGTCCATTATATAGAGCCTCACAGTGTCCACTATATAGAGCCACAGTGTCCACTATATTGAGCCTCACAGTGTCCATTATATAGAGCCTCACAGTGTCCATTATATAGAGCCACAGTGTCCACTATATAGAGCCTCACAGTGTCCATTATATAGAGCCACAGTGTCCATTATATAGAGTCTCACAGTGTTCACTATATAGAGCCTCACAGTGTCCACTATATAGAGCCACAGTGTCCACTATATAGAGCCTCACAGTGTCCATCATATAGAGCCTCACAGTAAAAACAGTGTAAAACCAAACTCACTTAATGTGAATACTACAGCATTGCATGGTAGTTCAAGATAGCAGGAGATTCTACACAAATACATTCTGTTTGTATGAAAGATGTTTGTCTGATGCTGTGATGTTGCCACTTTTATTCCAGCTGTCAGTGAGGAAGACTGTGTCCATCCATCCGTCCTCCGCATTGTTCCAGTGCAAGCCTGCCTATGTCCTGTATAATGAGCTGGTTCAGACTTCCAAGTGCTACATGAGGTACGTGCAGACCTGAGAGAGACCGACCACATCACCTTGAACGTTAATATCAATGTTAATATGAATGTTGATATGAATGTTAATATAAATGTTGATATGAACGTTGATATGAATGTTAATATGAACGTTAATATGAATGTTAATATGAATGTTAATATGAATGTTAATATGAATGTTAATATGAACGTTAATATGAACGTTGATATGAATGTTAATATCAATGTTAATATGAATGTTGATATGAATGTTGATATGAACGTTGATATGAACGTTGATATGAATGTTGATATGAATGTTAATATCAATGTTAATATGAATGTTGATATGAATGTTAATATCAATGTTAATATGAATGTTGATATGAATGTTGATATGAACGTTGATATGAACGTTGATATGAATGTTGATATGAATGTTGATATGAACATTGATATGAATGTTAATATGAACTTTAATATGAATGTTAATATAAATGTTGATATGAATGTTGATATGAATGTTAATATGAACGTTAATATGAATGTTAATATGAACGTTAATATGAACGTTAATATCAATGTTAATATGAAAGTTGATATGAATGTTGATATGAACGTTGATATGAATGTTGATATGAATGTTGATATGAACATTGATATGAATGTTAATATGAACTTTAATATGAATGTTAATATCAATGTTAATATGAATGTTGATATGAATGTTAATATAAATGTTAATATAAATGTTGATATGAACGTTGATATGAATGTTAATATGAACGTTAATATGAACGTTAATATGAACGTTAATATCAATGTTAATATGAATGTTGATATGAATGTTAATATGAATGTTAATATGAATGTTAATTTGAACGTTAATATGAATGTTAATATGAGCGTTAATATGAATGTTAATATGAAAGTTAATATGAACGTTGATATGAAAGTTGATATGAATGTTGATATGAATGTTAATATGAATGTTAATATGAGCGTTAATATGAACGTTAATATGAATGTTAATATGAGCGTTAATATGAAAGTTAATATGAATGTTGATATGAACGTTGATATGAAAGTTGATATGAATGTTAATATGAATGTTAATATGAACGTTAATATGAATGTTAATATGAGCGTTAATATGAATGTTAATATGAAAGTTAATATGAACGTTGATATGAAAGTTGATATTGAAGTTAAAATGAACGTTGATATGAACGTTAATATGAATGTTAATATGAATGATAATATGAAAGACATTTGAAATAATTTACTGACATGCATGCAAATGTGGAAAAGTTTTCCCAATATTTTACAGATATGCACCTGTCTAATAGATAACCTTATGGGCAAAGAGGTGGGTGTTGGGGAGTGTAAACACATGTTTATGTCAATAGCAGGTAGAGGTGCGTAGTCAACAAGTCGGCCACGCCTCTATGCCTCATGAGTCTCCCCTGGCCATAGATCTTCTTGGCCCCCCCCCCCCCCCCACACACACACACACACACACATTTAGACAGACAGACAGACCGGAGCTGGGTAATTGGCTGTGCGGTATGCTGTGATACACTCACGTGTGGGCTGAGGCAGCTTACACAGATGCCCTGTGTAGGTTTGATACAAAAAAATTAAAAGTGTTATGAAATTATGTCTGTGTTTATGATTCATGTGAATTTTGTCAGTGCTGTTTAATGTTCAGATAAAAAATGATAATTCTCATGTCCTGGCAAGACATTTTTGCGTTTAAAATGTTATGTATTTCATGTGCACTCAGTGCCTGAGAATCTCTTTTAAAAATATTTTCATGCTGTAAATAATATTTTGATTAATTCTCAAGCTTTAAAAATTGACAAGATAACTCAATACATCAAAAGTTGATAGCAGACTGCACATTCATTCTGTTCCTCACAAGTAGATGATCGCAGAAATAAGGCACTTGTGCATGATGAATGTTCACATTTAGTTTCCAAGCCATGTGCTCTAGACCAACCAAGCTCATCTTCTTATACCTGTTTTTAGAGACATGTCTATCTTTACCTGACTGTAGCATTCACGGAGCTATATCTCTTGTCAAGGCATCTTGAAACGGGGGATAGTCTGTCCCACTGGCATCATCGCATCCTCCGAGATCGGTAGTGCCATGGGAAGTAACTTTGTGACTAACTAGCTGCTGGTCTCTATGATAAGGCACACCTTGATAATAGCTGACAGAGTCTTGCAGACATTGCAGTAGATTTCACAGGAAAAGGATTTATTTCATGCTTGTTGTATGATAATCATGATAACCAAACTTTCATCTTCTGACACATGTTAGGGTGTTGGATGACAGTTTGGTGAATAAAATCGATAGCGTTTGAAGATGTGGGTATAGTGTTAATACACCGAAAAACAACATCGTCGTTTGTTGTGGGAGACGAGTGGTCTCTGATGCCGGGAACCAGGGTTTATCTTGAAGCACAGCTCTTTCCCTGTGAGAAATAACCTCAGTCGATGCAATGTGGAGACAGCACAAGACTTACATATCTTGAAACTTTATTACATAATCAGTTTCTTGCTTTAAACAAATAATCTAATACAGATTTCATCATGTGGAGTACAACTTGACCTGCCAGTTGTTATCATTGGGATGATTTTAAAACTACAATTAAGTAAGGCAGATATTGAAATTCATAGTGCAGGACTGAGGTCCTCTGTGCAGGTATGAACATTGTCAGACAGTGTGCAGCACATGCATGACCCCATGCTCCATGGACAGGATGAAAACTCCAAACATGTTTTGTTAATTATATGCTTTGGTGCAGCGTATGATCGTTATTAGAGGGCTCTGAGACAGAAGATGCTCTCTTTGTATAGATGGATTATTTTGTAGGTCTTTTATAAATATATTGACATTTATGCAACTGAGTGAATTTGAACCAGACCAGTTTCCTGTAAATGATCTTGTTGTAAACATCTCTGTTAAAAACATAGATCTGTGATTGTTTATGTGTGTGTTTGGGTGAAAGCCAGCATGGGGGACCCAGAGGTGATTTATTCCAGGTTAAAGAAGTATGTGTTGCACAGAACTCTGTGTAAACACAACCACTAGTATTTGACATATGTAACCTGCAATCTTAACCATCTTGCGAATGGTAGCCTAATGGTAGCAGTGTTCGCTCAAGCTGAATACCCAGGTTTGATTCCAAACGTGGGCACATTGTATGAAGACATTCTTCTTGTCCACTGGCATGACATGGCATATATTGCACAATATTACTCACTCACTCACTCACTCACTCACTCACTCACTCACATACAATAAGATTGACTTGCATTCACTTTACTCTCATAAATTCCTTCTGTTTAAAAAGGAGTGTAAAGGAATACTCACTAACTCACTCACTTACAGTCTGATTGACTTGAGTACACTTTACTGTCACACATCCCTTCTGATAATAAACATCCTCAAATTAGCTCAGATAGTTATGGTAACTTTTGAGCACATTTCAACCATTTTATGACATCATTGCAATCAGAAAGGTAACATATGTGCCTCTGTGTTTCCAGAGATCTGACTGTAGTTGATCCTGATTGGCTGTCTGAGGCAGCACCTGTCCTCTTCAAGAAGAAAGCTGCTGCCGCCTCCGTAACATAATACATCCCATGTGGGGGATACGAGGATGTGATACGACCATGATGTACCGGGGTGGTACACCTGTGACTGGCTGATGATACTGAGAGATAGGCAGAGTGAGATGGGATTGGGGAGGGGAGGGTAACATGGGGAATACCTTCTGTGGGCTGGATTATCATGAAAGATTATGTGCATACTTAATGATGTCAAGACTGGCCAGAGACAGAGGGGATGGGGGAAGTACGACCAATGCATCCATCCTCTGTTGGATGGTATCTCATGTAAGATGATACACACATAACATTATCAAAAAAGGAGTGAAGAAATAGATTTTTGAGTATACTTTTTCATCTTGTAAATATTTTCAAATTGCTAAGGAGTAAAAGTTTTTGATGTGACAGTATTCCTATTGAGATAAATAATGAATGACTTGCCAGTCGGTGGAACTAGGTTTCAGGGATACCTATGCTATTTATGAAGAGTATGTTAGTGTAATATGTTCTACATTAGCTGTAGCATGTTACTGAAAGGTCGAGTTCCCATTGTGTGTTGTATATATGTAAATAAACCATGTATACACGAAATGTTTGTATTTTGATCATATTTTAATTACTAATGATGTGTATAATGTCACTAGTGGTAAAAGAAGTTTGTAAATCATTTGGACAATTTAGCAACCATTTTTTATGTTTAAAAATTAGCCAACATACAAACCGGAAGCTAGGAGGCGAAATGAAATTGCTGTAACTTTTAATCTGAAGGTTGACTTGGGACATGTTGTGTTATAATTATTTCAGACTTTGTGGTCCCTAGTTTTACAGAGTCAAGGGTCATATGATAAAATGATCAAGGCTGAGATGCAGTCTTCATGGGAGCCCAACTTTCTGCTGAACATCTGGGCAAGGAAGCTATTAAACAGACATGCAGTTTCTACAAGCATGATTGATAACCGATGCATAAATATCAGCCTCAAGATAAATAAATTATTGCTCAGTGGGCTTTGGAAAGAAAGGAAATTGTGGATGTGATTGGGCAATGATAAAATATGAGCTACAATTTCAATAATGAAATGAAATATGTAATCAGTATTAGAAAGTAAAGGGGAGTGTTGTCCTTGAGGTTTTCTGCTATGGTTTTGGCATCCATAGGGTCTCCCTGATTTTGGCAAGGACATCTTGACTTTTTGTTCATATTAATTTTGAACATTTTGAATATTTGAGGAAATGTGGATAGGCAATATTATGAAAAATGGTTGATGTAACTTGTATGTGATGTAGAATCTGTTTGTCACAGAAGACAACAATTGTTTTTTTCAGGGATGTATTAAATTTATGTTGTCACTTATGATGTTTGCTACATCTAATGAAATTCTGTTCATGTGTATATATAAACATTAAAATATGATAGTATACTGTGCTACGCGTGGCATGGAAAATTAACTATAGTAATGTAACAGAATCAGGCAGGCCTTAACTTTGTTGGAGTAGTGTATATGTAAGTGACAGAATGTGGTTAATATTATTCTGATTGGCTAAACTATGGTAAAATGTCATGTGACCCTGAGGTCGAGCCCATCCAAAACAGACTTATCCAAAGTTGGATGGTTGATTTGTTGTTTTATGCCACACTCAGCAATATTCTAGCTATATGACGTAGGTCTGTAAATATCGAGTCTAGACCAGACAATCCAGTTATTGATATTATGAGCATCGATCCACGCAATTGGGGTCAATGACATGCTTCAACCAAGTCAGCGAGGACCTATCCAAAGTCTCCTCTTAAAGTTGCCTCAGCTATGCAGCTGGTGGGGATATTGTGGCCTGTCAGTATCACAGTGATTCAAGTTGCAGTTGACTAGTCTCATCACCATTATGTAAAGTTCAGCAGCACAGTTAAGTTGGCTTACTATGACATGTCACATACAAGGGTTAGATCCTATTCCCAACTTTCTTACTTAAAGATTGGTCGGATTAGGCTCCACTATGAGTCTAATCTCGGGATCGGAGCGGTCGGGTAGCCTAGTGGTTAAAGCGTTCGCTCGTCACGCCGAAGACCCGGTTTTAATTCCCGATATGGATACAATGTGTGAAGCCCATTTCTGGTGGCCCCCGCCGTGATATTGCTGGAATATTGCTAAAAGCGGCGTAAAACCATACTCACTCACTTACTAATCATGGGATCAGGGCCCTGTGCCACAATGCGATGTTAGTGCTGAGGTGAATGTAACTCCCATTCTTCAACTTATACTTACAACAGTCATAGCGCTATTATCGCTTTGTGAAATGGCGCCCACATCCCCACGCTGGCTTGTGGGGAGGAGTAGTATCTAGATGGATGTTTTTGCCGAGGAGGAACTAGCAGCAGTGACTGAGCGTGTCAATATATCCCCAGGTTGTCGCTCGCACTACTGACCACTGGTGCAGGCTGGTGCAGGCTGGTTGCTGTACAGGCCACGTGGATGTGGTGGTCAGATAAACGCAAAATAAATTTCCCTCACACAGTGAGTGAGTTGGGTTTAACACCGCTTTTAACATTATTCCAGTTATATCACAGCGTGTCAGCTTAATGTGGGAGGATAGCCTGAAGTGATGGAGGTCTCAGACGTTTACCACTTTGGTGAGCACGGGTTTGGTGCTGACAAACCTTGAAACATAATTGGGGCGAACCGGGATTCGAACCCACAATCAAAGGTTTCTGGCATGCCAACGGGACGCAACTCTGCACAGCGAATCGCGGCGCCTTAGACGACTGGGCCACCCGTGCCCCCCCCCCCTCACACAGGTAAGCTGTATAAGGTCCATTCTTGGTGATGGAAGTAAAATTAACACATTGAAGAAGGATATTTGCAGGCTGAACATTGGATTTATGATTAATCTGGAATAGGCTACAATGCAGCTTGTGTTGTTTGTAATCTGAGGGAGTTGAGGTGGTACTTTGTTCCACTAGACACAGCATGTATGCACCCCAACCCATCTGCACTGATGAGCCTTACAGGAGGAATCTGCAGGCAAGTGACAGAGATCCTTGCCAAATCTTGATTCTTAATGTATGTTCCAGAAGTTTGTCGACCCAGTTTTGCTTTAAATTCATACTTCAGATGCCCAATTTTATCAAAACTTTAATCTTTTTGAATTAAACATCTCTGACATTTAACAGCTGCCACTGTGAAATTGGCATCACTGTTGGTCTCTAGATTCTGTTGTGTAATCATAGCAGGAAAAAGTCACCAGCAGTTCTACCCACAGATCCAAGATAGGATATTATTTTTTTGTGTGGCTGTTCACATTCCGAGGTTGTTGCTGGCTGGAAGCTCTCTACGAGGAGATAAGATCTGTTACACGTCTCCTGCAGATGTTGCAGCAATGTCATCAACGTGGCTGACCTGAGCAGTTTTCCCCAGTTGGCAAATTGAAAATTTCATGGGAGTGACATCACTAGTCTACATGTTGTAGGGAAATAGCATTCCATAGTTCACTTACAAGCAACAACATTAACACAACTGTTTAAGATCACATATGTTATTTCTGTCTTTTTTTGGTCAAGCATCAATGATCTACAGGTTGAGAGAGCAATTTTAGACCAGTGATTTCATTATCCTAGAAATACTCAATATAGGACTTTTGCATGTGATTTTCTCCTTGTATCCGTACAGTGGTTGCTTGTACATTAATGTGTAACACCTTCTCCCTTAAATGTTATCGTACATATCAAATTAATCAACTGTTAACTTAAGTCTTAGAAATTAAAATGTCAGGAATATGAGGTATGCAAATAGGTTCTTTCATATGACATTTATAGTTGTAGTTGGAGAGGTTTGTTGTTTTGTGAAGTTTCTCAGCTGTATTTCCAGGTACCAGGACTAAATGTTTTTTTGAGTTTGGTACACTATCCTGATCATGATGGGCAGGTAGCAATATTTTAGGGAAATATTTCATGACGTGGAAATATATTTCTTTGAATGTTTGAATCAAGACAAATTCAGGTTTCTTTGAAAAGTAAATTACTTTTTTTCATGTTGGTTAACATTCTCAGACTGTTATGTTTGTTTGTTTGTTGTTTAATGCCGCACTCAGCAATATTCCAGCTATATGACGGGGGTCTGTAAATAATCCAGTCTGGACCAGACAATCCATTGATTGACATCATGAGCGTTGATCCACACAATTGGGATACGATGACATGCATCAACCAAGTCAGCGAGTCTGACCACCCGATCCCGTTAGTCGCCTCTTACAGGATCAGGTGTTCAGGCTCGCTGACTTGGTTGATGCATGGCTCACCAGATTCAGATATGGCTCATGTGTTTGCCATCCATGCTTGTTTGGTTCTCTCTCTAAGATTTGTGTGTGGGTAAGTGATATAAGTTGATGACAAACAGTACTACAACAATCCCTTGATGGAATAGGTTTGAGGAATACAGCCTGAACTAATGCAGAATGTGTGAATGTTTGATGGTGCAGTCCGCAATACTCCAGCTTTATCACAATGGCCCAGGGTTCAAAATCCGGTTCTAAATAGCCAGTGCTACAACTGTCGTTAGTCTATGTTAGGGTATGGAAGTTACGACCACCTTAGTGCTCAAATTGCCTTGTACAACGGTACCCAGGGCACCCAGGGCTACACAAACCAGTGGTTGATAAGCAATGGTCATTGCCTGCAGGATTTGTCCTGTAAAGATCTGGGTTAGAAATGGTCTTCAGCAATCCATGCTTGTCGTAAGAGGCGACTAACAGGATCGGGTGGTCAGGCTCGCTGGCTTGGTTGATACATGTCATTATACCTCAATTGCGTTGACTGATGCTCATGATGTCAGTGACTTGATTGGATCTGGAGTGGATCCAGACACGATTAATTACAGTCCGCTGTCATATAGCTGAGTGTGGCGTTAAACAACAAACAAGCGGAAGCCAGCAGGATCGGACCTTACCACCATACCTCATCCGTCAGGACTGGGGAATTGTTGGAGAGAATAGGTCACAAGTATATATTGATGAAGGGGAATTGTTGGAGAGAATAGGTCCCAAGTGTATATTGATGAAGGGGAATTGTTGGGGAGAACAGGTCCCAAGTGTATATTGATGAAGGGGAATTGTTGGGGAGAATAGGTCCCAAGTGTATATTGATGTAGGGGAATTGTTGGGGAGAATAGGTCCCAAGTGTATATTGATGTAGGGGAATTGTTGGGGAGAATAGGTCCCAAGTGTATATTGATGTAGAGGAATTGTTGGGGAGAATTGGTCCCAAGTGTGTATTGATGTAGGGGAATTGTTGGGGAGAATAGGTCCCAAGTGTGTATTATTGTTGGGGAGAATAGGTCCCAAGTGTGTATTGATGTAGGGGAATTGTTGGGGAGAATAGGTCCCAAGTGTATATTGATGTAGGGGAATTGTTGGGGAGAATTGGTCCCAAGTGTGTATTGATGTAGGGGAATTGTTGGGGAGAATAGGTCCCAAGTGTGTATTTTTGTTGGGGGAGAATAGGTCCCAAGTGTGTATTGATGTAGAGGAATTGTTGGGGAGAAAAGGTCCCAAGTGTATATTGATGTAGGGGAGAATAGGTCCCAAGTGTATATTGATGTAGGGGAGAATAGGTCCCAAGTGTATATTGATGTAGGGGAGAATAGGTCCCAAGTGTATATTGATGTAGGGGAGAATAGGTCCCAAGTGTATATTGATGTAGGGGAGAATAGGTCCCAAGTGTATATTGATGTAGGGGAGAAGAGGTCCCAAGTGTATATTGATGTAGGGGAGAAGAGGTCCCAAGTGTATATTGATGTAGGGGAGAAGAGGTCCCAAGTGTATATTGATGTAGGGGAGAATAGGTCCCAAGTGTATATTGATGTAGGGGAGAATAGGTCCCAAGTGTATATTGATGTAGGTGAGAAGAGGTCCCAAGTGTATATTGATGTAGGGGAGAATAGGTCCCAAGTGTATATTGATGTAGGGGAGAAGAGGTCCCAAGTGTATATTGATGTAGGGGAGAAGAGGTCCCAAGTGTATATTGATGTAGGGGAGAAGAGGTCCCAAGTGTATATTGATGTAGGGGAGAAGAGGTCCCAAGTGTATATTGATGTAGGGGAGAAGAGGTCCCAAGTGTATATTGATGTAGGGGAACAATGGAACATTTCATAGACAGACTGCTCAACTCTTGAAAGGGATACTGACATTTTGCATAATCTTGTGAAACTCAAAGGAATGTTTACTTTCTTGTTTGTTTATTTGAATTGAAATGAAACTGAACACATCAGTTCCATGGAAACCTCTGAGCAATCAGTACTCGCCCAAACACACTATCCCTATCAGGCCTGTGAAGATCCAGGGTAGAAGAAGTCTTCAGCAACCCATGCTTGCCATAAAAGGCGACTATGCTTGTCATAAGAGGCAACTAACGGGATTGGGTGGTCAGGCTCGTGGTCTTGGTTGATGCATGTCATCGTATCCCAATTGCATGGATCGATGGACATGAGGTCAATTGCTGGATTGTCTGGTCTAGACTTGATTATTTACAGACCGCCGTCATATTGCTGAGAGCGGCGTTAAACAACAAACAAACAAAACAAAACTATCCCCATCAAAACATGAGTGGTATGTTTTTTGAAGATATCAATGATTTAACAATAAACAATACAAATCTTTCAATAATAAAAACTTTATTGACTAAGATTTATCTGCATGTACAAGATATTGTAGCTAATGGGATCACATTGGTGGGCCTTCAAGCCACAGGAGGACATGATTGCATATATTCTACAGTCATTCTTTTGTGTTACAGTACACATTGAAGCACACAGGCAAAAACAGTCCAGAGTCATGCTCGTACAAAATACCTAACTCCACTGGAAGACGTGGTCACTCACTCGAGTTACAAATGACGATATTATGATCTCAATTCAGTTCCTTGACATATTCTAAGATAACTTTGGTATCAAGTCGTGGCTGTGTTCTGGGATAAAGTCCTATCACGCCCTAGTTACGGTGAAAGTACATGGGACAGTGACGTTCCTATGGTTTGGGATTCAATGCCTGATATTTCTTCACCATGCTCATTATATATTTTGTAATGACCTAGAACAGTGGTATGTAAAATATGCAAACAGTACACATCAAGGTAAAATAAATAGGACATGACAATCTATAACAAAACAAGCTAGAAGAAAGAACGGCAACAGATTTTCCAAGCATTTTAAAATTTCAGGTTTACTGATATAACAAAGAAACAAACCTCGATTCATGTTGAATGACCAGGAAGCAAGGTGTCTGTAGACTTGAAAATACACATAACACAAGCAGATATATTACTTGGGTGTTAATAGCACCAGAGAAATATAAAGAAATGATGTCTACATAATAGACTAAGTTATTCAACAATACATACTTGTACGACTTCATAGCACTGTAACAAGATGGGAGGGAGATTGCGATACCATATGTATTGCCCTACAAGAGTTGTGATACGATACATATTGCCCTACAAAGGTTACGATATACTACATGCATCATGAGACATCTCACTGATAACTGGTTTACAAGATAAAGGCTTATGCCATAAGCACAACTTTGGGGGGGTCATTCACTACCAAATTATAACAGTCTTATCGCAGTAATCCTTGTCTGTTGCAGCAGCTATGTAGTACACACGTATCTGTACATCCCTACTGATTCCATAAACAATAGGCTGAGAAGAAAGTTTGTATATACATTATCAACCTTGTGCAGTGTTAACATTTGCAGGCAAACTGAACAGTGCCAGGTCTCTCTGCTGTTTGTATATATATATATTTATGGTAAGTTGGACAACTTTTGCCCAATCAATTTGACCTGTTAATGTCCATAAATTGTTTCAAAACAAAACTTTTGTACAGGTTGAACAGATATGAAGACAAAGCTTTCATATTTACTTCCATCTTATGAAAATTGAAACATTTTTTAGAATTTTTTTTAGTAGTCTATTTCCTGTTATACATAAAACGTATTATGAAACCTTATGCATTAATACTGCACCTGACCTCTGCTTTGTCCTCAGATCGGTTGTGTGGCAGATAGTATTCAGCTCTGAATCAATATATGGAATATATAATACAGGTGTAACAGACAGGTTATATACACAGAGTTTTAGACTAGAATTGAAGTCATAACATACAGACATACTTAATCGTAATTTCTGAAATGTGAAAAATGAATTCATCTTCCTATATTTAGAAAACAATTTATCTCATCATTGGCAACTCCAACCAACTGAAAACATAAAATGCAAAACTGCACAAAAATCAAACTTTTGTTATTCTATGTAGCTCATCACCCTACCTAAACATCAGCTTCTAAGTTTCAGTCCTTGATATTTTCTTGTTGATATGTTTAAGATTTGAACCCAAGACGAAAAAGTGTAAAATATTCAATAAACATTTTTCAGCGAAAGAAAATCTGACTTTCAGTAAAAGTGAAAATGTCAAACCAAGTATTTTACACAGTGTCAACTGGCACGCACAATACGTCACCTTCATCTGACTGGCTGAGATAAATAAATTATAAATATATTTCTGTCATCCGGTCTCCTTTTCACACCTCTCGCACATCACTAAAGCAACATCAAGCCAGTTGAGAGATTCCTACGCCACCTACTGTCTAATTATGCATTCACCTTGCATCCATAAGGGATAGGTAACAATGTAGCAAGTTGGTTATCATTATGTTTTAGGAAAACAACTGTGCATGCAGCTGCACCAACCTTACAGAAGCAGTTGTCATCATAACATCACAAGGTATTCACCAACCTCCTAATGGTAATGTATCAAGAAGTTGTACATCCATATGTGTGGCAGTGGGGATTTGACACTGTTAATTTGCATATGCAGATCACAATGTCAGATTTTGGTACTGCTGCCTGTTGGATGGAATAGTTTTCTGTTTGGCTATGTTTTAGTAAAATCTGCACATTTGTCAAAATAGATGACGTCCCATAAGATCTGTGGAGTTGAGAGTTGAGAGTTGAAGCACTTGGTGTAAACATATCCTTGGGACCCTGATACAGTACACGTTCTCCTCGGGAGGTGTCTCCTCCCTTTTCCCATTGTTACCCATCCCTTGGTTGTGGTATGTAGTTAGCGTCCACACTCCGGGCACACAATGTCGTCGCCGTTCATCAGGAAGCCGCGGCCGACCATGGAGGCATTGCACTTGTAGCATACAAAGCAGTCACTGTGCCAGTGACGTTCCTCGAAAGAGATGAACTTTGTGCCACCAATACCTGCAACACACAAGCCCTTACTGTCAATGAATGAAATATTTCTTTTACTTCTTGCATATATTTTGTTTGGCACCTTAAACTCTTGCCTTTCCCCTCCCCCCCCCCCCATTTAAATGCTGAGTGGATGCTTTTTGATAGATGTCTTTCTGTTATTAATCTGACTTTGTTTTCAGTGATCTTATCGAATCCCTCGCATCTACCTGATAATATGGTATTCATCCAGAAATCAGAGATGGCAATGGGTTAAACTGGAACCTTTTCAGTGGAAATGCAGGGGTTTGAGTGGTGGAGTTGCATAGAAGACGATTTACAGATATAGTCCAAATGGTTTGGCAATTGGTGGAATTCCATGTGCCTGCAAAAATCTTGATGGATATTGATGTGGTACAACTCTCACAAATGAAATATGTAACAGAAACAGTCTACTTAAAAATCACATGTCCACAGGGAAAATTCTCATCATTGGACAGTGGGGTAACTAAAAATGGCTCAGGTGTCATTACACTGAAATTTAAGGTTGATTTCCCACCCAAGTACAATTTTCTTATCATATTTAAAGTCGTTCAATGAATAAGATGGCAGTGTAATAACAGGCTGTAAACCCCAACTCAGTAAGTTCCATTCTTACATAAGACTGTAATATGTGTGTTGTAAACTCACCTGTGATTGGCTGTGTGCAACGACAGCACTTCTTGGCGAACAGTTGACCGTAGCAGTCTCCGCAGTATGGCTTCTCGTCCCTTGATGTGAACTTCTCTCCAGATAGCATCTTGTTGCAGTTGGTGCATGTGAAGCATTCCTTGTGCCATGGTGTGCCCTTGTAGGCAATCCCTCCCTTGTTGATCACCTGGACACACAACAGGCCTGGTCAACACAGGTTCATGACACCGACAGACATATACACAATGTCGGCATCTCCATAAAACCATTACTTTGTAAGGCGCCATGGTCTGCTGCTGGCTTCAAGGTTAGTTTACCCAGTTGTTAAAAGAGCCCATTGAAATTCAGAGATTGCCTTCATTACATAGAGACAACTGTCAGGAGCTAGCAAATCTGTATGTACCAGACCTTATTCAAAATATGGCAAAGACATTTCATTGGTCCCATATCAATCAAATGCCCTCTTACTGGTATAGTATTCACAATATTGTTTGTAATTTTTATGCTTAATAAATGGCCAGACGTTACCATTTTGTTCAATAAATCGGTACCAAACTGTTTCCATCCCAATAAATCCCATGTGATCTTAACATATTTTTTACATATTTACATGGGCAATTGGGGGGCACGGGTGGCCCAGTCATCTACGGTGCCAAAATTTGATGTTCAGAGTTGCGTCCCTAAGGCATGCCAGAAACCTATGATTGTGGGTTCGAATCCTGATTCCCCCTGATTAGGTTTTTAGGTTTGTCAGCACCATACCCGTGCTTGTGGGTTTCACCAGATTGGTAAACGTCGAAGACCTGCATCACTTCGATCTTTCCTCCTACATTAAGCTGACATGCCGTGATATAACTAAAATACTGTTAAAAGCGGCGTTAAACAACTCGTTCACTACATGGGCAATTGTATTCTTCTGGCCTCTTGATCCTCAAGACGATCTTAGCACTACATCTGGCTTAACTCCCTTCAACCTTGACCTACAACAGCTGTCGATCTTAGCACTACATCTGGCTTAACTCCCTTCAACCTTGACCTACAACAGCTGTCGAGCCCAGTCGCTTTGTGGAACGTACAAGGCCTTGGTCAACCTCCAGAAATGACCAGTGCAGCACTTACCCCGGCACACTTTGTACATCTCTGTGCATAGTTGGTCTCGTAGCATGGGACACAGATGACAAGTTCGTCCCTCGGGATGAAGCTCATGTTGCCGATGGGCTGTCTACACTCACTGCAGGTGAAGCAGTTGTCATGCCATTGCTTGCCCTTGTACTCAAACTTCTTCATACCTGGAACACAAACAGAGCTATCAAGCTACATCAAATACTACCGGTATATGCTTTTCGTAAAGAGACAAATAAACTAAATAAGGTGTGCCCCAACTATGGGGATCTTTGACCCTGCAATCAAAGGTCTAACTGGTCCAGGCTCTAATTTTAAATGCTGTTACAATATTGTTGGCTGAAGGTTAAAAGAAATGTTCATTTATACGCCAGGTATTTTTACAAAGAGCAGAAATCACTCTCAGACATTTCACCCAATGGACAATTCCAAACACCAGAAAGTTCAACAACACATACAAGGCTGGAAGAGAGATTGTTATATACCAATTGTTTTTAGAGAGGGATATTTTGTCAGTCTGGGCAGTCTTGAGGCTTACCAGTAATAAAAGGAATTCCTGAGCACAACCTCAAGAATATTTTACAGCACTACTCTGTTTATGGTATTGTGTTAGCTGCAGTTATCATATTTGACCATTTTTTAATAACTCAGCTGGACTACATATCTGGGAGCTGCCATCTTGTCTTCCAAAACTACTCTTAGTTTGTGCTTTAAACTGGAATCTATTCAAATGTCTCTTCTGTGAAATAATGACCTGGGAGGTAAAGATTTAAGGTAGAGATGGGTATGTACCCCACTGAAAATACTAGCCTTTGGGCAATCCCAGATGTGAGCATGTGGTGTAAATTTTACACATTGGCAGCCTCTTCCCAGTTGTGACATAGGAAACAGCTAATGACTATCACCTCATTTTAAGGGCAGTTGTCTAAAGTTGCAGCATGTCAACAACATGACACTGCGTGTTGGAGTTATTCATGCAACAAAACATCGAAGAAAAAAACAAAGGCAAACATGTTTTTTTAAGGTAACAATTACAAATCTGTAAGCTCTGCTGGTGTTCTTCACTCCAGATCGCAGTAATAGACGGGGGGACATAAATAACAGGGTCCCTTTGTAGATCGGGTTGTATTAAAGACTGAGATACACAGTAGGGAATACATGGACTTATATAGACCTGCTTACAGGTCTTTATTCAGCCCAAAGCAAATATCAGTAACAATTCCCAAATTGCAATTAAAAATTTGCCAAGTCCTGTTATTTTATTAATAACTAATGTTATTGTTTGCAGAGGGGAATAGCATTTCACTGATACCAGAACCAATCAGCAAAGTTTTCATCACATCGGTGGTGTTACCTACCTCCCCTAAAGGGCTGTTGGCAGCCATCACAGCGAGCAGCAAAGTTTTCATCGTGGCAGTCAGCACAGTAGATGGCATTGTTCTTGGGGGCAAAGGGCTGATCAACCAGTGACTTCTGACAGCTCACGCACTTGAAACATTCCTCGTGCCAGTGGTAGTCCTTATATGACAGATCCTGAAACAATAGAATAGAAGCATGTCATCTTCATAATGCAGATCATTGTGAAATGTCTTATGCTGTGCAGGTAAAGGCTTATGTTAAATACTTGTCACAGTGTCAATGCTGTGTTTGGGGACCAATCACCAAGCTCTTATGCACACATCTACTGATGAACATGTAATGCTAATCTACTGATATCTAGGAATATCTGATTACAGTATTCGCCGTAATAAGCACCCTGGGCACTAAGAAAATTGATAAAAGTGGTCACCTATTAAAACCATACAGAAGTTAAATCTATTTGTTACATTGTTGTTGGTAGTGAACACAAGCTTTGTTTAAACATCAGTGAAACTTTTTTCATAGTTCCGATGCAATTATATTCCCTTGTCATATACATCTGTCATATACACATATTAATATGGACTTATATTTCAATTCTTGGTCCTTGTAGGGGTACTGATAAAGATAACTTGCAGATGGTAAGTTGGTAAAGGGACGCCGGGCATTAAATACAGTGAATACGATACTTGTATTTGTGTGCATCCTGTTGGTTGTCTGAATCTGCCGTCTGCCCTTCCAGGGGCACAGTTCCACACATACAAGTCCTGTAACCCTTATACTTTAACATGGCTAGCAGTCATTTCAGAATCCACCTCGGAAAGTCCAGGCCTTGATGCATGCTTTGTGCCAAGAAGGTTATTTAACACATACATTGTACTTCAACTTAGACTATTTTGCATGCTATGACGATTGGACAGGAACTGTTTGTGACAAGAATTGAGTGAGTTGAGTATGAGTAACAAAAGAATGAGTAGGGTTTTTACACAGTTTGGATTAACATCCCAACCAAGAACTGCATTCACACTCATGTGTTCATAGTGCAATCAACCTTGGTGTTTCATAGGATAGCAAATTAGAGATAACGGGATGTCATGAAAACATAACAACTGAAAGAAAAAACTGTATTCAGCAAGACTGGGAATAAGTTCAATGTCGACGCTGTATTAATACACTGCAAAGAGCATGCTCAAGACAACAATTATTTCATTATAGAAAACAGGTATTGTCAATTGTGATTCAAATTCTATTCTGAGAAAGTTTGCTAAGGAAGTCAGAAGTAATGTTGGTAAACTGTTCATTTTACATAGTAAATCATTGTTTTACAAACGTTGCTTTCACTCTGAAACAAAGTCTGCAGACCGTACTGTTTATCCTAGAACACAAAATGAAAATTCCTTTTGCTAAGATCTAACATCTTAACCCCAGATTGTTTGGCTTTGTTGGGAAAAGGGTGAAGGAAACATGACAAAACACTTCCTTCGTGAAAAACACATCAGCAATTTATAACGCATTAGGTTTTAGGAAACCACAAAGCTGAAGGCATTAACGCTTGTCATTTCACAGGCTCTCCACATAATCACTCCAACACACTCAATGTCCCTGCTCACACACACAACACATGTTGGCAGTATCACAGATTAGCTGCAACTGTTTGTGCCTCTGCTTACAAGTCCCCCATCATATTTTGTGGTTAGGTAACTCCATTTTACACTGATAATAGGAACATCAGAGTTTGGGCAATTGTTCATTCCATGACTATCAAAACAAGTGAGATGTTGCAGGTTAACAATACAGAAAGGTTTAAACCTTCAGAAGATGGGAAAAGAATAGACTGCAGAAACACTCGCTTTGGTTTCATGTGGTTGTCATGTGGAAAGTTTATATAACTTTAACCAAGGCCAGCAGTGTTGTGGGCAACTGTTACTTAATGCAATCACAAATATTGTAATGTTCTGTTCACCACACGATATGCTTATGATATGTTTGTTGTTTTTACGCCGCAGTAAGTAATACTCGCGTCACATCACAGCTGTCTATAAATAATCGAGTGAGGGCCAGACAAACCAGTGACTGATATCATGAGCAGCACCACTGTTACAGAGATCAGACGACACTCAATGGCCAGGGTGCCAATGTACAGAGCAATCTTAGCGCTCAGGTGATCGTAACTCCTATACCTTAACATAGACTTATGACAGTCGTAGAGCTAAGGCTGTTTTGTACAATGGCACCCAGTTTACCAAGTTTGACCACCTGATTCAATTTAGTGCCTCTGACTGACAATCAAGTGCTGGGATTTGTTGGAGGCAGTACATAGTTGTGAACATGGGTACCTGGAGGGTTGATGAGCTAGAGGACTTATTCATTGTATGCAGTACATAGTTGTGAACATGGGTACCTGGAGGGTTGATGAGCTAGAGGACTTATTCATTGTATGCAGTACATAGTTGTGAACATTGGTACCTGGAGGGTTGATGAGCTAGAGGACTTATTCATTGTATGCAGTACATAGTTGTGAACATGGGTACCTGGAGGGTTGATGAGCTAGAGGACTTATTCATTGTATGCAGTACATAGTTGTGAACATTGGTACCTGGAGGGTTGATGAGCTAGAGGACTTATTCATTGTATACAGTACAGAGTTGTGAACATGGGTACCTGGAGGGTTGATGATCTAGAGGACTTATTCATTGTATACAGTACAAAGTTGTGAACATGGGTACCTGGAGGGTTGATGATCTAGAGGACCTATTCATTGTATACAGTACAGAGTTGTGAACATGGGTACCGGGTGGGATGATGAGCTAGAGGACTTATTCATTGTATACAGTTCAAAGTTGTGAACATGGGTACCGGGTGGGATGATGAGCTAGAGGACTTATTCATTGTATACAGTACAAAGTTGTGAACATGGGTACCTGGAGGGTTGATGATCTAGAGGACTTAATCATTGTATACAGTACAGAGTTGTGAACATGGGTACCGGGTGGGATGATGAGCTAGAGGACTTATTCATTGTATACAGTACAGAGTTGTGAACATGGGTACCGGGTGGGATGATGAGCTAGAGGACTTATTCATTGTATACAGTACATAGTTGTGAACATGGGTACCTGGAGGGATGAGCTTGGGGACTTATATGGTGTTTTACAAGCCCAGGAAGTAACATGCTCGTTCAGTGAATCATGCACAATAAACTATGTTACTATAAATATAAGTTAAAAATACTTGTAAATTTATTATCTTTCTTGAAGGTGTATGAGTTCTGCTTTACATGCACTGTTCATTCTCTGGAGAATTGTAGCAGACATTTCTCTGGTGAACAATGAATAAATAATGACAACAGGCAAACCAGACTGCATAAAACAGTCGTCTCTTGAACCACACAGATATCAATGTCTCTCATAAAAGAACTCATATATAAAGCAGGCACAAGTTCCCGGCACGACAGGTTTGATAACTGTCAGTACTCGTGCAAACTTCCTCATGCAATTTGGAAGTTTTTAGTTTATTAACGACAACCGTTAGCATCAAGCTGGGCAATTTCTAGACAAACCATATGTGAATCTTGGGTATTTTGACACAAAATGCTGAGAAGTAGCGTCCCAGGGTAGTGATATTTAGAATAATGTGTCTGAATAGTGTTCTATTTGTAAGCATCAATACAGGTACCTCCTGGCATGAAAACAGACTTGTTTTATGGTTGTTACATATTCCAAATATCCAAGGGTCCTATTTCCTGCAGCTTGATTCCCTTAGCAGTTGTTCTTCAAGCATGGACAAACATACAACAAACAACTAGGTATGTGACAATTTGATGTAATATTATCTTAAGAAACCTAAACACACTGTACCAATGATGGTCCGTACAGTGACTTCAGTACAGTGACTTCCGTACAGTGACTTCCGTACAGTCTTTTCGTACAATATGTGAAACCTTGTGAACTCAAATTTCATGTATACTGCTACTTCAAATATCGTTCAACACAATTTTGTAACATTAAGGAGTCTTAACAGAATCTGTATTGGAGTCTGTGACTTTAGTCACTAGTCTGTGAGTGAGTGAGTGAGTATGGTTTTACGCCGCTTTTAGCAATATTCCAGCAATATCACGGCGGGGGACACCAGAAATGGGCTTCACACATTGTACCCATGTCGGGAATCGAACCCGGGTCTTCGGCCTGACGAGCTAACGCTTTAAACACTAGGCTACTCACTAGTCTCAAGCCTATGTCTAGTTAGATATGGTAAAAATAAAATCTACTGAAATTAATGCTTAATGCTTGGGTCTTGTAGACTTAAAGTGCAGGTATAATAAAAAATAGCAATAGATTCTTCTTACATCATTATGTAGTCAGTATGATGTACAATATGATGGCCAAGAAAAAAAGTGTGAAAACGTAAACATGGCGCTGTTGCACATAATTAAAAGTACGTATTTTTTAGGTCAAAGCCAAACAAATCTTAAAAGCGCTAACGAGGAGACATGGCTTAATTAGCACACCCGGTTAGGCCTGCAAGCTGATTGGGTATTACCACCGGCTGGGTACAGAATATATGCATTTCATAAGCATGGGATCAAGGTAAAATCTGCCCCAGATGAAACATGTGTAGTCAGCAATATTTTTCCTACACATCTCAATGTCCTGGATTTATTAAGTCTGGTTTGTGCAAACAAGTGGTTGATGTCATGAGCACAGTCACGCACTGTACCCACCAAGTCCTCATGAGTGAGTTGGCTTTAACACCACTTTGAACAGTAATCCAGTTATATCGTGGAGTGTCAGCTTAATGGGAGAGGAAAGCCTGAAGAGATGCAGGTCTCAGACATTTACCAATTTGGTAAAACCCATGAGCACAGGGATGGTGCTGACAAACCTGGACACAAAACCAGGGCGAACCAGGAGTCGAACCCATGATAACAGGCTTTCAGCATACCCAAGGGTCACAACTCTGCACAGCAACTTGTAGCTCCTACTACTACTGGACCCCTGCCCTCCGATCCTCATGACTTATGACGAGTGGCCCAGAGTTATCCAGAGTTGCGTCCCTTGGGCACGCAAGAAACCATGATTGTGGGTTCAAATCCCGGTTCGCTTAGGTTTGTTTAGCACCTGTGTGAGGGGGGGGGGCACGGGTGGCCCAGTAGTCTAAGGCGCCGCGATTCGCTG